CCTGCCTGTAATCCTAGTATTCAGAGCCAGGGACTGAGGCTTCCTGCTGCAAGATGGCTAGCTCGACTAGCCAAATGGATTTCAGTGATAGACCCTGCCTCAGTGAATATAGTTGCTTCTACATGCATAGACCCACACACATAAACACATACATCTGGAATGTATGCCCATTTATATATGCCCCAAATTCAGAAATATGAAAAGCTCATTAAAAGTGCCTTGTTACTCTCTAGGAAGAACTGTTCTCAAGTTTTGGTGGCTTTTCCCAATATGTATATATTGCTAGACACTAGATACTTTATACTTGTATTATAGACAGAAATGATATCACTGAATAAAAGGATTTGATGGAGTTTACATTCTGCTATGTGATACTGGTTACATAATTGTCTCATAAGTACTTTAGACTAGAAGTTTTTGGAACTTGAATTTATTTTTGAGATTTAGAATATTTGCAGAGAATAGATTTGATTTGTTAAACACCCCAAATATAAAAGTTTGAAATCTCAAATGCTCCCACATCCAAAGTTTTTTTGTTTGTTTGTTGTTTGTTTGTTTTGTTTATTTGTTTTGTTTTGTTTGGTTTGGTTTGGTTTTTTCGAGACAGGGTTTCTCTGTGTAGTCCTGGCTGTCCTGGAACTCACTCTGTAGACGAGGCTAGCCTCGAACTCTCGAATTCAGAAATCTGCCTGCCTCTGCCTCCCAAGTGCTGGGATTAAAGGCGTGTGCCACCTCCGCCCGTTTATTTGTCTTTTGACACAAGGTTTCTCTGTGTAACCCTGGCTTCCCTGGAACTTGATTTATAGACCAGGCTGGCCTCAAACTCAACAAAGAGCCACCTGCCTCTCCTTCCTGAATGCTGGCATTAAAGGTGTGCACTACCATCGTCTTCCAAAACATTTTGAGTGACTGACTGTATTAGTTACTTTTCCTCCATCAAGGTCAGTCTTCCTAAACCTCCTCAGACAATACCACCAACTGGGGACTGAGCATTCAGTATCTGAGACTGTGGAGGACATGCCATTCACACCACCACAATGACAGACCCAAAAGGTTTTCTTTGTTTTGGGAGCTTTTCAGATTTCTTGACTAGTTAAGCTCCATGTTTTATGCTGGTGCTGTTGAAAATGACTGTGGCTCATGCAGTTGCTGCAGGTGCTTTTGTATTATTTCTTTTTTAATCAGCCATTTGATTCCTTCAGTAATCTCATGAGATAAACAGAATTGCTGTCCTCTTTTATCGCTCAGGGTATTTAAGTAACATACTGCCAAGTTAAAACAGATAGAAGTGCTATGCCTTAACTGGGCCTGTTGTGAAAATCATTCACTTTCCTGCCTTTTGCTGACCAGTTGAAAGCAATTTGTTGCTTCTAAAGGGAATAAAAAGCTCTCATAATGGTTACTGTTAATTGTCAACTTGAAAGAATTTAGAATTAACTTGGGAGAAAAGCCTTACTTGTGGAGATTATCTTGATTACATGAATTATGCTGGCAAGACTGTGTGTGACACCATTCCCTGACTTAAAAGAAGGAAGTGAACTGAGCAGTAGTACTTAGACATTCATTTGCTTTTGTTTGATGGAATGTAACCTGCTGCTTCAAGTTCCTGCCTCTGTGACTTCTCTCCAGTGGTGGACTGTAACCTGGAACTGAGCTAAATAAGCCCTCCTTCCCTTAAGTTACTTTAATCATAAATATTTTATCACAGCAGCAGGAAAAGACAGCCCTGATTTTGTAATATTTGGCGATTTTAGTAACATAATTTCTCCCCTAAGGATTGATTTAAAGCTATCCATACCTTTTTTACTGATGTTGAATTGGCAAGCAATGAATCCTGGAAAAAAAAATGTTAGTAGCACACTATTATGTAGATTTTCTTCCATATGCACACCATAATATAAATCTCAAGATAATATAGTACAATATAGACTTGGCTAAACAGGGCTTTTAGGTATTATATTTGCTTTTAATCTGTCTTAGTTGTTTGTAAGGCTAACTTCTAATAATGACTGTGCTTATCAGTTGCTTGTAGAATTCCCAGAAAATTAACTCATGAGTTTATACAAGTTGGTCCAAGCTATTGCCATAGTTATCTTGCTGCTCACCAGACTTACCTTATAATATGTGTGGCCACCCTTATCTAAGACATCAATAGTTTCTCTTTTTTACCATTTCTTGCCCCAAAATTTCCTACTTCATTTTCCTGTATCTCTATTTGCCCTGTTTCCCACATCCTGACTCTCCAGTCTACTTCTATGGTATAATTAATTCACTTCTGAAATGGCCAGCTCTTTCCCATTCTATTCCTTCCCCCAGATTATTCCTGCTTATTGAAGAAAGGTCCTAGGTGACTAATATCTTGTGAAATAGAGAGTCTATGCCAAGATCTTGTAGAGAGAAAATCTTTGTCCTGGGGGAAAAAACCCACATATTCGTATAGTTTTGATAGAGATGTCAGAGCTGAAACAATTTTTATATCAAGCATAGTGTAATTTTTGCAGTGCTACTAATATAGTAACTGTTCTGTATAAGTAAGTTTAGGATGTGGGCAACTGAGACTTCCCATCATTTAGAATCCTTTATTTTTTTTAAATCCTTATATTAAAAACCCATTTTTATGGATGACTAAACAGTTACTCTGGGCAACATTTTTTTTTAATCACTATACATTTTTATTTGGGAGATCATCTATGCTTATATAGACTGCCTTTCTCGTAGTTATTGTGAAATTATGACCCTAAAAATGATCAAGCTCAAGGATACACTTCTCATTAATGAAGAGAGAGAAATTTTTGTCTTTGTAAGAGCAGCACTGTCTTTCTTAGGGTTATGTTGCTGGAGACTGATGACATAGATGCAATCTTTTCTTGTCATTGAGTCTGATGAAAATAATAATTGAGAATACCTTGACCATTACTTTTGTTATTCAGCTCATCTGTGTAGTTAGTAGTGTGGCAGACTTGATAGCTGTGCAACCAGACTCTTTAATCTGTGTATTCTGTGCGTTGGACCTAGGTTTGAACAACAGAGTAATCAATCAGAGCTTCTCTCATAGAGAGAACAACTAGTCACCTGGATAAAAGTTCTTACAGAAATCTGAGACTTCTCCTACAACCCCACTTGCTTAATCTTTCAAAGATGTTTCCAGTAACACTAGGTTACTTGTGAACCACCATAAAATAGGAGTTATTTGCACCTGTGAAATGTGGAGTGTTTGCTCTCTGTGTTTAGTTCCAAGTGCCTTTGGAATTTAGCTTTGGAATTGCCTTGAGGTGAATAAAGCTTTGTTCTCTTCTCTTAAGTATAAGGTTATGTGACTTAGCTTTAAAAAAAATGTTAAAGGTATGAAAGCGATCCAGAACTTAGTTAATTTTATATTAAAGCTTTGTTAAAAGGATGTCAGTTGCTTATGTCAGCCATCTCTTGCCTTTGTTGAAAGGAAGCCCCAAATTAACTAGTATGGGCACAGATAGTACCTCAGCAAGAAGATTCTCTTCACGTGAGAGAAAATCATGGTTCTGAAAAGCTAAGTGAACAAATTTCAAGAAATTGGAGTAGACTTCCTCTCTTATAAAGGTGTAGGTGGTAAGTAAAAGTGACAGAATGTTAAGTGTGAATGAACGGGCACAACTGTGCCCTGGAGTTACTGTTTAACAAAACAAGCTAGAGACAGAGGGTGTGGGCCATGGGTTTTAGTTTCCAACACATGAAGGAAAGAGTAAAACTTGTGTTTTTATTTGTAGGATACGAGGTGTCTTCGGTACCTATAGAAAATGTACTGTTCTCATTGTGCCTCAGACATTTAAGCTGATTGCATCCTACTAAAGGATGCCATTTCACTGCTTTAATCCTTTTACTGTCATTTCCAGGGAAAGGCGTGTATATAAGATCAAACTATAGTTTGGAGTAGTGATCAAAACTAATGATAATTCATTTCTGACTGTGATATCTCTGTGTTATGGTGCTTTGGAGTGCTCCAGTTATAACCAAATAAGTTATGGCTTATTTGGAGTTACGGTTCATTCTGACTCATGTGTAGCATTTGGTGGACTTGAGCACTGGTTATACAATAAAAGCGACATTTACACTCCAGGAAATACTTTGAACTCAGTCTATAAAGTCAACGTGCTCTTAACATTTATTAAACTTAATCTTAGATTTGATGATATAATTTTAAATTTTCAACATATAGCAAAATGCTGCCTTCTGTTTCACTGGTTCTAGGTTTAATAATGTGGCCACAGGGTGGCATGATTCCCTTACATATCTTATTGTTGATTAAAATGAAAAAGACAAAGATAATTCTTTCCTCAATTTTATGTTAAAGTGTCCAGTTTTTTCTTACTAAATTGCTGTTTCTATACTTCATTACTAAGATCTGAAGAATATTAAATCTCAGTACCCTAAACTTTGATATGTTAAAAGTTGCTTTTCCTGTTGTAAGGTTATGATTATAACACAAATTATGTTTATAATTGAAAGAATGGTAATTAGGGCTGTATGTCACAGACTATATTTAACTACAAGCTTTAGATTTTTTAAAAAATAAGCCAAATTATAAAAACTGATAAAGTACACTATCTTTTTCATCATAAATAGTTGCAAAGGTGTTTGCATAGTTACTGACATGACACTTACCTCATTTTAAAGGCTTCCTGGAAGGCCGAGTAAAGGAAGAGAACAGGGATGTCAGATGGTCGAAAGGCACAGGCAATTCTTCTATTTAAAGAGATGGAAGGTCCACTTTGTTCCTGAGTTTCATACAGCAACTCTAAAGGCAGAAGGGTTGCTTCCATTTACACAAGTCAAAGAAAGTTAAGTTGGATGGATCTAAAGAAATATTTGGAGGTAGACTGCGAGTGCACACTACCATTTCAGGGCAGATCTCTATACCCTCACCTTGTTGGGAAGTGGATAGATAGTAGTAATTAATGAGCTGTGGAATTTAGCAGGCTTCCACCAGGAACCTTACTAATGCAGACTTGTGGACTCTTTTCCAGGGCGATTGTGTTGTTACAGTACTGCTTGCTGAAGAGGACAAAGTTGAAGATGATGCTATTTTTTACTTGATATTTTCTGGCTCTACCCTCTATCACTGCACAAGTACCCGGAAAGTCAGTTCTGATACGTTGGAGACAATTGCTCCTGGTAAGTATCTGAATGGTGTCTTTTCTAGCCTTCATTAGTTATTTGTTACTTTGCTTTTTATTTTGAGGCCAGGTTTTGCAGCAAATAGCTAAGGCAGGGTATGAAACTCTGTTTCTTACCTCAGCCTCCTGAGTGCTGGGATTGCTGACCTATACTAATATACTAATTACTAATGGGCTTCTTTATTCTTGTGGACCTCCTCCCCACCCCACACATATACATTTGATTAGTATAGAGTAATAGAAGGAGCAAAGCTTGGTGCTAACCTAACAGCTGTTAGTTCCTTAAGTATATTGATAATGCTTTTGTTTGTTCTACACACATATGAACCTAACTAGATATAAAGTGATGTTATAAATTGAAGGATATCAGGATCAGCAAAACAAAAAACAAACAAGTAAAACCTACTAATTTATTGGAGGTTGAGAGTTGGTTGGAGAAAACTGAGAGATCCGTGGGAGGTGTATATTCTGATGTGATTATCATGATGATGCTTCAGATTTTATTCTGAGTTTCATGGTGACAAAACCAAGACAGAAAACCTAATTAGTAATACATGCCTCATCTGCATGCATCTGGGTGCACAGTGTTTTTGTTAATCCTGAGATCTGAAAGAGAAAGAACAATTCTACCATTATTCTTTAAGGAGAAATAACAAAGCTATCAACATTATTTGGAGTATTCCTCCAAATTTTGAAGCAAGCTTTATTAAATATTAAATACTGGCTAGGTGAGTCCACTCCCAGCTAGCTGAGTGGCCAAGACACTTGTAGGGGT